AAGCTTCCCTGGAAGGGAGAGGTGGCCAGCGTGAGTTCTAGACCTTGGACTGAGGGCAAAGCCGATGCTGTTACCCTTCTAGGCCTGGCCCTCCTCTGTGACCCTGCTAGCTCTGTCTCTTTCCCAAATGTAGATGGATACAGAGGATTCTGAGGTCCTAAACAATTATGAAGCCACACGATGGAAGGACCTGGGTCCCTCAATCATTGAATCAAAGCCTTCCTTCTGAACACCCAAACTGGACTGTCGGGAGGACAAGAAAAATCTGGGCCAGCAGTGGCCTAGTGGTTAAGGCAACTGGGTCCCAACTGTGGCCAACTGCACAGTCTGAGTCCTGGCCCCAGGGGCTTGAAGAATATGCTGGGCGTGTGAGTGCATGACCAAAGTCCCAAGAGGAGAATGGAGGAGAAGAATGCAGTGTGGTCATCCCCTCATGAGGGGTGCTTTCTCACATTCCCCCTCTCTGTGCCTCTCTCCAGCGAGTGCACCCATCCCATAACAAAACCAAACAAAACCAGACGATCAAACAAGAACCCAGACACTTCCATTGTGCTATACTACCCAGATTTTGGCCTTTGTTAGACTAGTTCATTTTCACTAATAAATGCCAACTCTTGCCATTGCTTTTCACAATGTTTCCCATGAATGTGTTCCATGCCTTTTGTTAGATTTCTTCCTGGACACATTACCTGTTTTATTGCTATTGTATTGTATATGGCATTTTGTAACAGAAAAAAAAATAGATTTTTTTCATTATTGCTAGTACATAGAAATACAGTTAATTACGTCCAGCAATCTGGATCACATCTCCTATTTAAGTCTTTTAATTTGGCTGTGGATTCTTTGGGATTTTCCATACAGACGACAAACTGGTTTTTTCATTTTCAATCTTCCCATCTTTTATTTCTTATTCTTTTTTTTTCTCTCTCTCTTTTAAAGTTTCTTTCTTTCTTCTATGAGTGAGTGAGACAGAGAGAGAGAGAGAGAGAGAGAGACAGGGCACTCTCCCATCCACTCCCAGCCTCCGACCATGGGCCCGCATGCACACAATGTACTCAGGGAGGTTTCTGGTCGTGAACCTGGAGCCCTCCCATGTGCCTTGGCATCACAGAGCATTGAGTCTTACTGCTGTGCCACCTCCTGGCCTTCTTATCCTTATTCGTGCCAGTCAGCATCCTTATACAAGCCTGAGTTATGGCAGCAGACACTCTTAACATGGTTCAATTTTTCTAAGCTTTAAATGGCCATTAAGAATAACATTTGTAATAGTATTTTAGGGATATACATTGACTGGTTTCTTGTTTTATTGATTAGTTTTGTTTGGTAATTATTTAATACTTTTTTGGGGGCCCACAGGTGGTGTGATGGTTAAGGGCACTGGATTCCCACATGGGTGACTATGGTTCAAGTCCTGGACTGGTGGCTTGCTTTCTCACTTTCCCTCTCTCTCTTTCTCTCTTTCTGTCCCTCTCTGGTCAACTTAAAACAAATAAAGTTAAATAAAATAATTCTTTAAACATAATTATTTAATACTTTTTTGTTTCTATTGAGATATAATTTTTGATCTTTAATCCTGTCTATGGGATCAATTGCATTAAGTGTTTTTTGGTTTTTTTTTTTTAGATTTTTGCCATAGGGCATATACACTTGCCAGAGATATAGACAGACAGAGAGGGAAAGTGAGAAATCATCCCCTTGAGAGGATGCCCCCACTGCAATCCCTAATCACCCATTCTTCTTCTGGGATTTTGGGCATGCACACACAGGTGCCTGGTGTGATTTTCAAGCCACCAGGTCTGGGACTCGAATCGTGGTCAGCTATGTGGAAGTCCAGCTCCTTAACTACTATGCCACCTACTAGCCCTGCATTAATGGAATTTCTAATTTTTAAAAAATAATTATTTATTGAATTTTTATTCACTCATTTATTTTAATTTGACCAGAGAGAGACACAGAGAGAGAGAGAGGGAAAATGAGAAAGCAAGCCACCAGGTCCAGGACTCAAACTGTGGTTGGCCATGTGGGAGTCTCCAGCGCCTTAACCGCCACTCCACCTGCTGGCCCCAGATTTTCTAATGTTAAAACAACTTTGTCTAAGATGAACTCAACTTGGTCATGTCATATTTTATATGTGTATATATATATTTATGTGCGTGTGTGTATATATATATATTTTTTTTTTTTTTATTTAACTTTATTTATTTACATATTTTTAGTTTGACCAGAGAGGAACAGAGCAAGAGAGAGAGGGAAAGCGAGAAAGCAAGCTGCCAGGTCCAGGACTCGAAATGTGGTCGGCCACGTGGGAGTCCAGTGTCCTTAGCCACCATGCCACCTGCTGGCCCCAATACATTTTGTATTTAAACTACACCTGGTGTGCTGATATTCTATGTAGGATTTTGTATGATTGTTCATAAGCAAGACTCGTCTTTTGACTGTTGCCTTTTGTCAATTCTGGGTATCAAGGTCATATTAATTTTATAAAATGAGTGGAAGATTTAAAGCTCAGAGGAACTTTTCTGTCTTTTCTACCACACTCAGGCCATGCTTGGCACATTTTCTTGCTACTTCCCTTTGTGGAGATATTTGTACACCTACCTTCATAGCAACATAGAGTAGCCGAAAGGTGTGAACCAGTGGGTGAATACGTAAATGCTGTGGACTAGACATCCGGCAGAATAGTATTCTCTCCAAATGCTAGGCAAGTCGAGCCTCTTCCTCAAGAACATCCAACCAGGGGACACAATCTGGTTTGGGGCCAAGCTCTTGCTAAGTAGGGCTTTTTTGTTTGTTTGCTTGGTTAGTTTTTTTAAGATTACTTATTTCTTCCATGAGAGAGAGAGAAACAGAGACACAGAGAGAGAGAGAGAGCACCCCCTGCTCAGTGTCAGCTGGGCTGGAATGCAGGCATGGTGTGAGCACGTGCCTCGCATGCTTGGGGAGGTCCTGGCCCTCGAAGCTAGATCCTCTCCCACGTGGGTCCATCTGCACAGCCCCGCACCCTCCCCTGGCACTCTCATTGCAGAATACGGAGCAGTCCCTTGGCCCATGCATTCAGCGTGCGTCACGCAAGTCCATATGGTTTTCAGGCAAGAGGTTACGATAGCCGATAGACGTTGTGGGGGTCTGCACTTCTGAACTCTTCCTGAGGGGCTGGCTCCCAACGAGATAGGCGACCTGAGTCCCCAGCTGCACCTGGTCTCTCAGCTCCTCCGTGAGGCAGAGAGAGAAGGGGACACCGAGGCACGGAAAAGACAGTCTATTTCAAGATTGTTCGCCCGGCAACTCACCAGGACTGCCTTCCTTTCTCACTAGTCTGACCTTGCATTTGATTAAGAAGCAAAACTCCCAGAGCAATGTCCCTTAAGACAAGAATTTATGGGCGAGAACCAGCAGTTAGCGTAATGGCTATGTCGCTGGACTCCCACGTAGTCGACCGCGGTTCGCATCCCGGACCCGGTGGCTTAAAACTCACGCCGGGCGCGTGTGCATGCGTGCCCAAGATCCCAAGAGGAGAATGGAGGAGAAGATATTGTGGTGTGACCATCCCCCCTGGGGGGTGATTTCTCGCTTTCTGTCTCTCTGTCTCTGTCTGTCTGCCTGGCGAGCGCACGCACCCTAGAGCAAAAACCTCTCCAAAAAAAAAAGAAAGAAAAAAAAGAAAAAAGAATTTATGGGCCAGCAGGTGACAGGGAGGTTAAGGTGCTGGATTCTACATGGCTGGCTGTGCAGTTCGAATCTCGAAAAATCCCAGGAGGAGAGTGGAGGACAAAGGACTGCAGCGGGGCCATCCCCCTGAGGGGTGATTCCTCGCTTTCCCTCTCTCTTCTCCCCACCCCTCTGTCCCTGCTGAGTACGTCGTCCATCCTATGGCAAAAACCGAAAACACAAAAACAAAACACGAGAATTTACACATTGAGGTCGTCATCAGAAGGGAACATTTGCAGTATTTACCAATTAACTCCTTGCGCCTCCTCACGGGCAGGGCTTTCGCTCCAGGGTTCTATAATCACATAGGAAATATTTCCACTATTACGATGCTCGTTCAAAAATAAATAAATGTCAGCACCCCCACAGATGTTTCCTTATTTGCTGAAGGAAAAAGAAGACAAACACAGTTATTGTGATTCACAATATTTGTGTAAAAGGCACCACACTCGAGCCTTCCTAAGTACTCCCAAAAATAATATTTGGGAACTTTAATTTTTATCTCGGATGGCTTCGGGCCACTTGGACTGTGCTTGGCCTCCCCTCCCCACCCTGTGGTAACACCTACAATAAGAGTCAAGGAGGTTGATCTGTGCTTCCAGGAATCACGGCCCCCCACCCCTCATGTAGGGCTGGCGCCCCCTTTGGCAGAAGTGAGGTAGAACCCCAGTAGGGTCTGCAGCCCCCGCGGGCCTTTCCAGACCATCTCAGAGCAGCTATAGGAGTTCTCCGACGAGTGGCATAAATGGCATCAGAACCTTCTGGAGGGTGTGCTCAGCTGGTGGCTTACCCATGCCAGAGTGGGTCACTGCTGGGGCCCGAGAATCTGCATTTCTATCAAATTCCCTGGCAATGCTGACACTGCCGGTCCTGGGACCTTCTTGAGAACTACTAGTCTAGTGTTTACCTTTTTTTTTTGGAGAGGTTTTTGCTATAGGGTGTGTGCACTCACCAGACAGACAGAGACAGACAGAGAGACAGAAAGCGAGAAATCACCCCCCCCCCAGGGGGATGGCCATGCCGCAATCCCTTCTCCTCCATTCTCCTCTTGGGATCTTGGGCACGCACCCACACGTGACCGGCGTGAGTTCAAGTCACTGGGTCTGGGACTTGAACCGTGGTTGACTACATGGAAGTCCAGCAACAAAGCCATTACGCCAACTGCTGGTTGCTTTTCTAGACTCCTTCATTGTTATTGTGGACTTCTTGCTTCCACTATTCCTTTACAAATAGACAAAGTACAATGATTTTAAATAGGAAGAAATACCTACATTGGAAAGAAAGGTCTCACAAGGAATAGACAGGCCTGTTGTAATTTATTTGAGTTATTTCCAAGCGATGGTTACAAAAGTTTTTAATTTTTATAATACTCTTGATAAGAAAATAAAATTTAAATAAAAATACATTCTCAACAATACAACACGGTTACACAAATTCACTACATTAAGTTTTGATAACTTACATTTTTCCAAATGGACACTGTAAAAACCAATATTTACTAGCAACACATTAATTTCCTAGTTCATAAAAATGGAAGCAGATAGTATCAATCAAGACTGGTAATTTAACTCTAGAATGAGTCTTGTATTCTTCACATACTGTAAGGACACCTAAAAGGCTAGGCGGAATTTTGTCTGTGTAGGCTGTACCGTTAGAGCAAATTAAAGGTGCTTTCGCTGAAAAAAAAAAAAAAGGTTTTTCAATACCTAGCACAAATGAGCCATTCTGATAAACGAATGCAGCCTCAGAAACAAACAAAAGCCACATCATCCATCACCTTCTCCTGTGTGATAATAAAAACGTTACCCGTGATGATTAAAAACATATTTCTTTGGCAAATAAAATAGTTCAATTTGATAAATTATATTCCTGGGAGTAAAAAGATCTTTTCTGTTGCCCATCATCTTATTAAATGAATAGTAAAAACAGCTTAAAAAAAACACACAAAAAAACCCAACAAAAAAACAAGCACTAGATCGCCACAGTTCAACGGGCCGAAACGGCTAAGGAAGGTTCCAGCGAGTCCCCTGCATCATCCTTCCCTCTTCCCTAGGGTCTTCTGGTGTTTAGGATGGAATGAGCTGCCATGTATCTCTTCAAATGTGGAAAAGGCAGAGAAAGCAGAACAGACAGGAGAAACCCACGTGCTCGAGTCCTGGCAGAGAAGTGAGGCCCCTGGGAGCGAGGCCCTTGGTCACGGGCGCCCTATGGACACAGTCTCCTCTTCCAAAAGACTTGGGGAGAAAATGAATCACATTTCACATTACTTCTTTTTTCTGGCTGTGCCATGCCTGCTACTTCCAGTCAAGCCGGCTGTCTGAAAACTCATGTGAAGAAAATAACGAGGTGACAAATATTCTCCCCTTTAAATCCAGAGTCGTGTGTGCCCACAGCCTTAGACCTCTTGATCATCATCTTTAAGAACGATCAGTTTGTTTGGGGGATCTGACACTAGCAATGTTAGAAGAGTGCTACTTCTGCCTTGAAATATAAAAAGCAGAGCACTGAAAGCCACTGGAGAACGAGTGGTACCCGGCCACACTCACGGCAGAGACCCTTACAAGGAACTGTAATCTAGATGAAACTGAAGAATGAGAAATTTATTGAAGGGCTAAGTTCTTTCACATTTACAATCGGTGGACTTGAATCTACAAGCTCAAAAATGGAAAAGATTCTTTTAACCTGGTCTTTAACATGAGCCAGGATGTTAGACATCTCCCACGATGCGGACAAGTCCTGATTCTCAGGCCACAGCTGATCCATTTCCACAGGCCGCTCTCAGAAATTCACCGCTCATTTCCAATCACTGTGGGACAACTCTGTACCAGTGACCTTTAAAATCAACACCTAGTAATACTATAATTTAAAGACAATTGCCCATCAACAACATAATCGGCAAAGTGTATCTTGAAACATAGCTTATGCTCAGGAACACACACACAGAAAGCACTGCTAGCTAGACTTACATGAATAAGTCACAGTTTGAAACAAAAACATATGTAAATACTCCAGGGTTCATAGTAGTACATTTAGAAAATGCTCTGAATTAAAAAAGATAAAACAAAGAGTACCATGTTCTTTAATACTGATGAAGCAAAGTGTATCCCTCTTCACTTCAAGGTGGCAACTTGCTTCGACTGCTTATTTACAGTTAGGGTTTCAGGACAGAAGTGAATTATTAGGGAAAAGTATGATTCAAAGAGTTGCTTGCCCAAAATTAATTTGGCTAGCAGGCAATAGGGAAACGGCAAGGAGATATAAACATTTTCAGAAAAGCATTATTTCCAGACTTAAACACTGATCATTCAACTGATCATCAAGATTAGATACCATGGAGTATCCAAAGTATAATCTGGGGCAGTCCAGATTATTAAAGTGCGCCAAGTGACTGTTCTTGAGTTAGATCTCCACCTAACACCGCGAGGAGGAGGGGGGCGTCCTCGGGGCGGTCCTGTTACAACATGAAAGAGCAGGTGAGGCCGAGGGAGTCCCCACCACCTTTTCACTGTTTACTTTCTCTTCTTTTTCAGAAGAGCTGTCCTTCGAAGTCAGGTTAATCTGAACTCTCAAATCAAGAACATGAGTACCTGATATTTAAAACAATTAAAAAAATTTTTTTAGTGGTCTCACTTTATTTCATTGGCCATCACTCATCCCAAATGTAAACCAGACGCACGCAACAGCACGGATTCCCTGACTCCTCCTGTCCGAGTTCTGTTTACAGCTTTAACTAGGCAAAGGACACACCGACTCCCCAGGGCGCGCTGGCAGTTCTCTCGTTTCTGCTGCTGCCTCTAACGTCATCTGTACTGGCGAATGGACCAAAGGGGAAGAAGAATTCTTTTCTGTTTAAAGGGGGAGGGTCGAGATGAACTAAATGGGAAGCTCTGAATTGTCATGGAGTGAGAGAGATTTTTCTAGAAAAACGTCATGTTGGCAGTATAGAGCAGGCACTAATGGTAGTGAAGACAAGTCCACAGAACAGAGTGTGGTTACAAGAGGTGGTTTCTCGCTACGCAGGACTTCTCCTTTTGTTCAACAGCTTCTTCAGGAATCTTCTTTAGGAAGACTGTTTCTATTAAAAAGAAGTTGCGGAAACATGAATTTGGACACACAAGATACGAAGAGAACCTTGGGTTTCAAATTCTCTAGTTATGTGTCAATACCAGGATTCCCACAGTTAATTTCAATTATTAAATATTAAATATGTGAATGCAGGTGACCCTGAAGCCAATGTTCATTCTTAAATACTATGGACAAAATATATGATGAATTGAAAAACTCCAAGAAAAATATTTTCCAGTTCTTCTGAATCAATTGCTCAAATCCTACGATGTTTTCCCAACAATTGGATTTTCCCTAAAAAATAAGAGAAAATTATTTTTGAAAAGTTACAAAGTATAACATTAAAAAATAACAAATATATAACCCCTTAAGTATTTATAGTTTTCCTTTGATAGTCTCTTATATCAAGTCTTGTTGCATTAATCCAACAAGTATTTACTAACCACCTGTTAAATTTCAGGGACTATTCTAGAAACTAGGGGTACAGTAGTGAACAAAATAGTCAAAATCCTTGCTGTCACGAGTTTACGTTCTGGTAGAGGTAAAACAGAAGGAGCATATATTGGGCTCGCTCAACAGCCTGGCAGTTAAGGCAGCTGGACCCCACAGGGTGACCTTGCAATTCGAGCTGGGTATTCAAGGAATGAGTTACAATGGAACAGAAGGTGGAATCGGCGATGACAGCACCCACACAATGAATGACAGCAGAACTGAAGAAGACAGGCCAGGGAAACTCAGTAAGAGAGAGGCTCTACGCTGTCCTGACAGATCAGGGTGAGCAGGAGGCCTGTGGGTTTGATGGGAGATTGGGGCAGAAGAGGCTGCCTTAAACGCTGTTTGAAAATATGCTCACAGGCTCTGCCACTGCTCAGACTCTGCGACTAGGAGGGTGAGGCCGGAGAGGAAGCCTCAGGTTTGGTTCCCAGCCCAATCTACACAAACCCGGCGTGGTGGCACACGGAGGCAGTCCTGGGTAACAGGCAGGATGGCACAGGAAGACAGCGATGTGAAAATACCCTGTCAAAAATCTCTCTCTTTAGGGGCTAGCAGGTGACATAGTCGTTAAGGGTGCTGGACTCCCACATGGCCAGCCACGGTTTGAGTCCCGGACCTGGCGGTTTGCTTTCTCACTTTCCCTCCCTCTCCCTCTCTCTCTGTCTCTGGTCAAAATTAAAAATAAATAAGTAAATAAAAAAAGTTAAGTAAAATAATTAAAAAAAAAACCCTATGCTAACCCCCCCCCAAAATCTCTTATTAAAGTTCATGGAAAATGCATATTATGAAAAAATTCTACGGATTTAAAACTTTTTGCAACAAAATAAACTTGTACTTTAATTCCGTTTTCCATGGAAGTTTGAAGTTACCTTGTGCATGTGTGCGTGCGTGTGCGTGCATGCACGCACGTGTGCACATTCATGGCAGCTTCAACAATACTTACTTGCTCCCATATTTTGCACTACTTGATCTTTTCTTCCTGTACTTTTCATGAGGTTCATCCAGCTTCTCTATGATGCTTTTTATTTGCTGAATTGTCTTAAAGGTTGTCACAGAGTCCTCGATCACAAAGTTAGAATAATCATCGGGCTCTTTCTGTGGCCCCTGATACATTGCTATCGTCCCACAAGCCTCTGTAAGAAGCAGTATAATCCGGTCAGACAACCGAGTCCCATAAATGCAATTTATAATATAAATAAGAAATTTTTGAATGTTTCAAGATTTCCCTGGGCAATGCATAATTAAAATACATAAATTTTACTAATTAGGATCATCACATTTATGCAAAAATAATGTTTTCACTTCATAAATATCTTTCCAAAGTGCCCCTTTTGGGGGTTTGTCAATTTTCATGTAAGTAATATCTTTGTAAGTCTGTATTTTAAACGTTTTTTTTTTTTTATAATGGCAAAGCAATACTTCAACAGTGGGTAATGAAAATAGATTGCGTATTTACCTTCCATCTTCTGCAGCTTAAGTAAACTGTAGGTAAAAAGGGAATAAATTCTTTCTGTTTCTCTGTCTTCATCAATATCTATAGAAAAAAAATCTCTCTTAAAAAAAAGAAAGGCAGTGTGGTAATGCCTCTATGGTAAAGATAAAATGAGTGACGTTGGATAAATTTTGCTTTGATAATAAGTCAAAGGCTTTTGGTTGTTCTTTAAAATTATTTTAATGTATTTATTTGCTAGACGGCGTGTGTGCTTGTTGGAGAGAGCGAGCTAGAGAGGGAAAGTGAAAAATTACCCCAGCGGGGCAACGGCTGCCCAGCAATCCTTTCTGCTCCATTCTCCTCTCAGGATTTGGGCGCACACATGCCTGAGGTGTCTTTTTCAACCCAATGGGTCTAGGATTCGAACTGCACATCTGGCCATGTGGAATTCAGCCACCTTAACCTCCACACCATCTGCTGGCCCAACTTTTTGATGGTTTGAAACTAAAAACAGTACCATGGCATTTTGCAGAAGGAACTCCAGAAATTTAATTTTATTTGACAGTTGAATAAAATGGAGCCAAGAGAGGTTTGGTTGTTAGGTGACTCACATCATATGAAAGGGAATTTTATTTTATTATTATTTTTTTTTGGAGAGGTTTTTGGTATAGGGTGTGTGCACTTGCCAGAGAGACAGAAAGCAAGAAATCACTTCCTGGGGGGATGACCATGTTACAATCTCTTCTACATTCTCTTCTGGGGATTTTGGGCACAAATTCATACATGCCTGGAGTGAGTTTTAAGCTGCTAGGTCTGGGACTTGAACTGTGGTCAACTATGTGGGAGTCCAGCACCACAGCCATTACAGCAATTGCTGGTCCCTATTTTATTTATTTCTTTAGAAATTTTTGCTATGGGGTGCATACACTTGCCAGAGAGACAGAAAGCAAGAAATCACTTCCTGGGGGGATGACCATGTTACAATCTCTTCTACATTCTCTTCTGGGGATTTTGGGCACAAATTCATACATGCCTGGAGTGAGTTTTAAGCTGCTAGGTCTGGGACTTGAACTGTGGTCAACTATGTGGGAGTCCAGCGACGTAACCATTATGCCATCTGCTGGTCCCATGAAAGGGAATTTTAAAGTGAAATCACGTTCATAACCTGAGCTTCATCATAAAGGCAACACATAGTACTTAAGTCTACAGGCTCCAATGGGTGTTCCACACACTCAGGAAGGGAATGCTAAAGCAAAGCACTCTTCTTCTTTAGCATCTTGCTCAGGCTTGTGCCTCTACTTAAACACTGCTATAAGGGAAGTGTACTTGCTGGAGAGAGAGAGGGAGAAAGTGAGAAAGCACCCCCCGATGGGGGCTGGCCACACTCCAATCCCTTCTGCTTTCCTCGCCTCAAGATTCTGGATAGGGACCAGCAGTTAGCGTAATGGCTATGTCGCTGGACTCCCATGTACTTGACCATGGCTCTAGTCCTGAACCTGGTGGCTTAAACTCATGCCGGGCGTGTGTGCGTGCATGCCCAAGATCCCGGGAAGAGAATGGAGAAGGGATTGCGGCATGGCCATCTCCACCAGGGGTGATTTCTTGCTTTCTGTCTGTCTGTCTTATCTCTGTCTTTCCGGCAAGCGCACACACCCTATAGCAAAAATCTCCCCCCGCCAAAAAAAAAAAGATTTTGGACATGCATATATATGCACCTGGTGTGTTTCTCAAGCTGCCAAGTGTGGGACTTGAACCGTGCTGTGGGTCATGTGGGTCCAGTCACCTTAACCATCACACCACTAGCTGGCCCCAAAACCATCATGAAAAGTAACCCTATATCCATTAGCACTACCCATTCCTCTCTCTCTATATCCTGACAACCATTCATCTTTCTGTTGCTATGAACTGAGCTCTTCTGGACACTTTATGTGGCCTTTACGTCGGGCTTCTGACACTCAGCATGTTTCCAAAGTGCATTCGTGTTGTAGTATGTCTCGGTACTTCATTCCTTTTTATGACCAAACATCCCACTGTATGAATAAGTTGCATTTTGAAACACTGCTTTTTTTAACCACAAAGGACTTACGCAGTACACGGCGTGCACCCGAGGGTGTTCTCACTGGTCTCCTGGCAGCAGAGCCAGGCTCCGTTCACATACGCCGAGGGGTGGTACACGCTCAGCCTGTTCTGGTTGCAGCGGCTCACCCTGCAGAGCGCGTCTATCCACTCATTGGCTTCCACGCAGTTATTTGCCTGGACATAGAGTGGCTTCTCTGTATGTATGACCTGGAACATCTGCGTAGGCGGCGAGAAGTTAGGAACAGTCAGCTCACAGTGCAGAGCAGGGAAGCGTGGGACAGGGAGCTCTGCCTGGCTGGGTGACACTGCTCGGGCAGCTCATGCATTGTTACTGGTCAGGGACAGTAGTCTCACGGGCAGTCTCAGTTATGTAGGACTAAGTGGTACAACAGAGTATCATTGTTAGAAGTCACCTATGTCCAAAGGAATAGACACATAATGTAAATAAAGGGAGAGATCTGCGGGTGGAGAGAAAGGATGGGGAGGGCAGAGCCGTGGGAGACGACTGAGAAACAGGAAGTCGCCTTGGTCGGCTCCAGCGCGTGGTACAGAGACAGAGCTGGATACACAGGCTGGGGCTGTATTATTTAGAGATTTGAATGTCATATAAGGAAGTCTGGTAACGGAGAAGTGCTGAGAAAAAGGTCTCTCACGCAACAAGGAAGACTACATGAAACATCAACATTAATGGACAATTTTAAGGTTTAGCTAGCAATTTAAAAAACTATGAATAATTGTAAGCACTAAAATAAACAACTGCTTGAAAACTGTCACCTAATACATACTGTTTAAAAGGCCTTACATGAATTTATTTATATAACTTACGTTTTTCTTGTTGAAAGAGCTCTCTTCTAGTTTTTCCACAGCAAGAATGTTTTTTACTGGAATTGTATAAATCGCATCTTTGCCTAAATAATAAAAGAAGTAGGACAAATTTAAATAATTTCTATCCTCTATGTTCTCAATATAAAATTGAAACATGTTCAAGGAAAAATGTCAGATTAAATTTGATCTCTAGGTAGAACAGAAGAATGCTACAAAATTTTCTAACAATGATACGGGTACCAAAACCCCAAACCAAAACACCAAAAAACTTAGCAATATAGAGGCCTATTCAAAACTTGCAATGACATGGAATTTTCTTTCATGCAGTTATTCCATAAGCAGTGATGATAACTATGTAGATTTAAAATGTGTTTTTCCCCCCCAATCTAATGTCTAATTAAAGAATCCTCAAAACAGTATTTTTAAACTGAAAAGCTAAATATAACTAACACATATTGGCTAATTAGCTAACTAAAGATATAAAATTTATTCTAAGAAACGCAGGAACAAAAAGTAAGTATTTTACTTGTACAGCAAATCTTTAACCTCATTAGAGTCTGGAAATTTGGTTACGGAGATCTGAATTGGCTGAAGGAGCTCCATAATAACATGGCATGAGAATATAACACGTTTCAAACTTCAGGCTACCAGAGAACAGACTGTACCTCAGATTGCCCGAGAAACTATGAGCAAACATAATTCTGGCCTCTTCTGGTCACTTCGTAATGTTGTTTTTAGAAAATCAAAACTTTGCTTTTATCTTTTCCCCCAGCTTTACTTTAATGACATGTGGATTAAAGTGCTAGAGCTTACGGACTTTATGTTTTATATTGTATTATTCAGGGGATTAATGTATAGCTTTTTTGGAAAAGAAAATTACTTGGTTAATAAAGGTTTTGTAGCTTTATATTTTTTTAAAGAGATTTTTGCTATAGGGCACATGTGCTCACCAGACAGAGTGAGAGTGATTTCTCACTCTTCCTCTCTCTCCAATGATTGCGTTTACACTATAGCAAAACTTTTTAAGAAGTCACTTTACTCAATGATGACATACTGACTGTCTCCTGCACTGTTCTAACCAGTTATGATACCAGACAAAAGAACATATAAAGCCCCTAATGGAGTTTGCATTTAGGTCTGGAAAGACTGACAAAAGATAAATATTAAATAGAGATGAATGTTCTAAGGAAAGTAAGACAGGGTGATGTGATAAGACATAATTGGGAAGTTACTATTTTTTAATAAGAATTATTTATTTGGGACCAGCTGGTGGAGTGGTGGTTATGGTGCTGGACTCCCACATGGCTCACCACGGTTCGAGTCTCAGACCGGGTAGCTTGTTTTCTCACTTTCTCTTTCTCTTCTGTCATCAAATTAAAAAAATAATAATTGGGGGGAGACCAGCAGATGGCATAACAGTTACGTTGTCACTGGACTCCCACATAGTTGACTGGGTTTGAATCTGGACCCAGTGGCTTGAAACTCATGCCAGGCGGGTGCCCAATGTCCTGAGAGAAAAATGGAGAAGAAAGGATTGTGGTGTGGCCATTGCCCCTGGGGAGTGATTTCTCCCTTTCTCTGTCACTCCAGCAAGCGCACGTACTCTAAAGCAAAAATGTCTCTAAAAAAAAAAGAAGTAATGATAATTGGGGTCAGCAGGTGGTGTGGTGGTTAAGGCGCTGGACTCCCACATTGCTGACCACAGTTTGAGTCCTGGACCTGATGGCTTATTTTCTTACTTTCCTGCTCTCCCTTTCTCTGGTCAAATTAAAAAGTAATAATAATAATAAATGTATTTGAATAAATAATTTTTTAAAACAAAACAAAACTAAACTAATCGTCAGGCCCAGCAGGTGGCATGGTGGTTAAGGTATTAACTTCCATGGTTAGTCCTGGACCTGGAGGCTTGGAAAATCAAGCTGGGCACATGTCCATGCATACCCAAAATCCCAAGAGGAGAATGGAGGAGAAAGGACTGAGGCATGGCCATCCCCCTAGGGGGTGATTTCTTACCATCCCTTTCAGTCTCTTAAACTTTTATTTATTTATTTATTTATTTATTTTTAAATTTGCAATAGGGCACGTGCACTCGTCAGAGTGAAGAAATGACATTTATATTCAACAAACATAAAGTCAAGTGTAAGAAAATGAGAAAGGACTATAAGTAGTCTCCTAGAAACAGAGAAGATTCCACATATGGGTGGAGGGTGGCGCCTGAAAGGAGTAAGGAAGCCACTGCTCGGGCCACGTGTAGGATAAGACCTCCACGAAAGTCTCCATGGTTAGGGGAGAGTGTCATGCCAGCGCTGGTGGACACAGACGGCTGGAGGCTGGGAGGCCGAGACATACGCCGATGACTAACCGGTGAGCTGCATCTGGAGGCTGGGCCCACCTGGCTCCCGCTGCCCCCTCTGTGCTAAGCGGCAGCCAGGTGTGAGTCTGCAGGCTGAAGCAGCAAGGATGCACACGGGCTGCGGGTGGTGCCATGTCACTGGCGCTGGCCCGCAGGAGGGGAAGGGCGTGCATGCCAGAGTCCCAGCACCAGCGCCCCTACCCTCAGCTTGTCGTGTCCTTCCCTTGTAATCGGTCACAGTACGTTAGTGAACTTTCAAGTAAGTTAATGGGTTGTAAAACACAGAGGTGGGAAAAATGACCAAAAAGTTACTAAACAGGTAAGAAAAATCAGCACTCTGAAGGGGAGGCGCATGTGCTACGAAGCAGCGAAGGTCTGAGGAAATCAGAAGAATAATGAACCGGGGGCAAAGGGGACAGCTATCTAGGTACTGGTCTACGGGGGCACCACAGAGACCCGCCAGAGAACGTTCATAGTTTACAGGGAGTTTCTATCTTTAGATTTACTGAATACACAAAGCATGCACACACTCAAACTGCTTATCTATTCATTTCTAGACAAATTACAACACAGTGTACGTAGAGAGTAACTGTCCCCAGGCACATCTGTTACCCCAGCACCAGGGTTCCATCTCACGGCAGTGACAGTGCTAGCTGGAATGAGCTGCAATGTGAATTAGGACAAAAGAAGGTTGTACTGGAAAGTCTCCAAAAATCCTAGAAAAGACAATCAGAAAGGAAAAGAGAAAAGTTAAGTGCCTTGGTGGACGCATTTAGAAGTTTCAACGTCTCACTAGTACAAATTCAAGACACAGGAGACAGCGTGTTCAGGAGAAAACCACAGGTGACAATGGTCCCTAGATAAGGTAGGAATCTTCAGATTGACAGGCTCCACCGAGCTGAACACGACAGAGGGAAAAAGACAAATATCTCAGTACTAGGCAATAAAATAAGAGTGCTAAGCACCTTTGGAGAGAAGAACATAGAAGACTGAGAATGAGACTGACTTCAAGATTCTCAACAGCAACAATGAAAGCTAGTAATCAACGGAGTATCACCTTCAAAGTTCTGAGGGAAAATCATTTAAACTCAGTGTGGAAAGAAAAAATGCAGACCTTTCTATATATGCACAGATTCAGAAAATCTGTCAGCCATAAAGCCTGCCTGAAAGAATTCCTTAAGGAAGTACTTCTGCAAAAGAGTAAAGAATCCAGGAAAAAAAGATGGATTTGTTTTGTGAGAAGCAGGGCTAGTCAACGGAATTAGTAAAACCGGTGGGAAATCAGGATAGAAAACCATTACAGCCCAAGGAAGGTGGGTAGAAGACACGAGAGGCGAGTCCTGAAATCCAGACGACTTCATTAAGGAGATGCTAGGAAAGGGAGGACGAAACGCCGTCTCCTTTCCCAGCTTGAATGGAGGCTGGGGTTAATTACGGACACGGAGGTTAAGTGACCTTTCATGTAACGTAACGTAAGTTTCGATCTGTCTAAGGACAACTCAAAGGCAGAGACAGGATACCCAGATCTCCTCAGCAGCTAGAAGGAGAGCTGGGAAAGCGTGTACACGCACGCACACACAGGCGGTTGAGACTCCAATAAAAAGGTGAGGAGGAACAAACAGAAAAACCTAGTTAATAGAAAACAGAAAGTAACACAGTAAATCATAGTACTCACGACAATTGTTAGTGTATTAACTTTCCCTAGTAAATTACTCAGTCAGGTTTCAGTTAAAATCATTATCTCTTCAAAACGTTACATGGAATTATGTGGAACTCACCAGTTCCACTCCTAAGTAAGATATGCAAAGTAACTAAAGACATTTACACACTCAAAAGCTTATAATCGATGTTCACAACTGTGTACGTCTTCATAGCCAAACACTGGAAACGACCTTGATGCCCACCAACGGATAAACGAAATGTCGTACGTAGCCATACCCTGGAACGCTACTCAGCCAGAAAAGACAAAGAAGAACCGATTCATATTACGATATGAATCAGTCTCCAAAGCATTATGCTGAGTGAAAGAAGCCAGTCCTAAAAGTCTATGTACTATACAGTTCCACTTATGTGACGTGCCCGGAACAGGCAAATCCACAGACAGAAAGGAGATTAGTGGTTGCCAGGGGCTGAGCGAAGGGAGGAAGTGGGGAGTGATGGTTAACAGATTTAGGGATTCTTTTTTGGGGTGAAACAGATTTAGGGATTCTTTTTTGGGGTGAAGAAAATGTTCTGGTATTTTCTTTAAATTCTGCTTTCTTTTTCTTTTTAACTGTATTTATTTATTCATTTAAATCTGGAGAGAGAGAGAGAAAGTAAGAAAGCAAGCTATCAGGTCCAAGACTTGAACCACGGCAGGCCATGTGGGAGTCCAGTGCCCTTGACCACCACGGCAGTTGTCAGCCCCGATGTTCTGGTATTAGCGGTGACTGCACAGCTGTGTGAATACAATGAAAAACCCAAACATGTACACTGTAAAAGGAGGACATCTGGGGCCAGGTCACGGAGTAGTGGCTCAGGTGCTGGACTCCACATGGCCAACTGTGGGGTCTGAGTCCTGGACCCAGTGACTTGAAAAACACACTAGGCCAGTTTAGGCCTGCGTGCATGCGTGCCCAAAATCCTGAGAGGAGAATGGCAGAGAAGGAACTGTGGCGTGGCCATGCCCCTGGAGGGTGATTTTTTGCTTTCCCTCTTGTGCCCTATGGAAAAAACCTTTAAAAAAAAAAG